GGAGGCAGGGGGGGGGGGTGCGGGGGGATGGCACTGGTGTTAAAGGACAGGCACACGCTGGACAAAAAGAGGCCACTATACAATATACGGGTCAGAACTTGGTCTTGAACAAGCATGGCCACATTTAGTCATTCATTTGGAGTCCTGTCTTTGAAATATTTACAAATTTTTGTTGTGTTTCTTTGGTAAATGAAATTCTATCAACGTTCACATCTGATGAAACGGGTAGTCCTGGAGTTGACATGAAGACCACCATGATGGAATGACTGTGTTGTTGAAATAATAACAACAATAAGCTAAGTTGAAGCGTGGCGCGGACCACCGAAAACCAAGTACCTTCATTTCACATAGGAAATATTTCTGTACATTCTCCCTACTTTTTGGACCTTATCTTACCATGTGATCATTGACGCTTCCGACCGTGAAGTGCCTGTGTTGCCTTTCGTGCTTTGCCCACTCTGCGTGTATGTGTGCGTACGCGCGTGCTGGCGCACACTCTTTTTGTGAGTTAGGATGAAGGAGAAGATATAAGCCTGGATTTAGTTCACAGGGTGATTTTTATCCTTGCAGGGGGTCTCCAAAAGGAAAACGATGGATGCAAGGTGACCCAATCCTGACACAACACCCACACACACCCGCGCGCACACACACTCGCAGGTGGGTAGGAAACACAATTATCAACAAGCACGTACACATTCCCACAAGGGCACGTCGGAGCACTCAAATAGCAACGCAACTCAATCACATAGGTGTGTTGATCCCCAAATGGGGATTATAAAGTGCTGATGTTAGGAGTGAAAGAAAGACAGCTTTGCCAAAGCTTCCTCTTCATTCTAACGCTGATAACGCTAACAGTATTGACAGTGGCTACAAGAAGTTATCATTTTTCTCTCGACTCTTCTGTTATGTTGTCTTGAAAGACCGACGTTCAGACAAACGTGAACTCCCATTGACCATTTCTTGGAGCGATGGGAATCGCCATCACTGAGGCCACAGGGAGCACTGCCAGAGATACATACATTCTTGATCTGTAGAAAAATGCGATCGGATCCCGTTGAGTCCGTTGAACTTAACTCATTTGAACGTTATCGAGAGAGGGCTTTCAAAAAAAAACAACTGAAGCCAAAGCAAAAGTGCTGTACAGAGAGCTCAAACCATAAACCATAAAATAATGATCATGATAAAGTGAATACGAAAAGAATCAAGACAAAAAAATGTGCTTCATTGAATTGAAACCCAGTCGGTGACATGTAAACACTGCCGCATTGCATTGGTGAGTGCAACAAACTTCTCAGGTTAAAGATATTTTGTTTTTGTTTCTTTTCTGTTTTTTTTTCCATGTCCCTACTGTCTTGTCTGATCCTGTGCGGAGCAAAATGAAGTGAAGAAATAGATTTCCTGATCAAACATCACCATTGTGAAATAAAAAGGACAAAAGGGTTGGCACTGATACAAACGGAGAAGAGCAAAATGGTGAGAGTCGGGGGCAGCTGCGTATCCATTTTTCACTTTCCGTCGCGTCGTGACGCGCGTGTGATGGAAAAGCCGATTATTGTGGAATTCCTCTTTGTTCACGGCGCAGAGACAAGAAAATGTAATTTTCTCATTCAAATCCTCCTCCACCTTCTTCTTGCCGTCCTTCCCCTGCCTGTTGCTTTGCAGCTTTGTGTCCACGTCGGCAGGACTGATCTGATTTGGCCATTGGAGATGGGATTTCCAGTGACTCCGTTTATCCCCGCAATGCTTGAGTGTGACCTTTGCCGCCTTACCCGTCCCTTCTGTGTGTGTGTGTGTGTGTGTGTGTGTGTGTGTGTGTGTGTGTGTGTGTGTGTGTGTGTGTGTGTGCGCTCTTGTGTGTGCATGTGTAGGGATGGGGGTCTCACTCAGAGCACAAACTCATGTGGAGACTTGTGCCCAGACGTGCCCAGACTGAAGTAAATCCAACACCAATTTTGTGCGGTTTATTAAAAGTAAAAACATCATAGGAAGAAGAAAATCAAAGATTGCAAGTTTTCAAGCTTCACTTGTCAGCAAAACAGGAATGTTCACCAGCTATTGATCACATGAATATATTAAAAGGGCAAACTTGCCCTAAATGTAAGTTACTAAGAAGCGCAACCAATTAAATGTTACTTTTTGCCACCGTTTTGTCCTTAGCTTGGCATTACTCATCCTAAAGAACAAAAAGTCACCCACTTCAATGCCGCTTCATCTTGAATAACGAGCTCGTCTTCTCCCACGGGATCATTTTGAACAACAATTTCTTTCATGGATGGTAATCAGACAGTCACCCGGTACACACTGGCGCACACACGCACGCACACACACACACCCCATATGCACGATAATGGCAGTAAGTGATTAGGTTTACAGATGAGGGATCATTTTTGTCCATTTTCCGGCAAATGGTGATTGCTCCAAGCATTCATTAGCAAATCGCAGGGGTCAAACGATTCAGAGACAGCTCTCGCTCTTTTTAAAACCACCTTGCGCAGCAGTCCAAGATGAATAAAATGGGGCCGCAAATTATGAGGCGTGCGGCGAAACCGGTTCCCCCTGATGAAAAGGGATCCCATACCATTATGTCCTTGATGTCTGTGGGAGGATCAGGAGAATATGCAAGTGCCAAAATATTCCTTTGCGGGGGACATTCTGGAGGCAAGGGGAACATTTGTGTTAGCGTATCCGTTTGCAACGCCATTTGAATGTTGGCACGCGCGTGTGTGTGTCTGCGAAGGTGTCATTGGCGTGTGTCATCGCCATGCAGTCAGTGCGAGGCAGGGAAGGGCTCTTCTTCATCATGGCCCCTACGGGAGGCTGCGATGGAGTCCGGGTGTGAGTGCGAGAACGAAAGGAAGGGAGGGAGAAGGAGGAGGAGCATCTGCACCCTGACAGCATGAACGATACATCACGTGATTGTCTTGGACAGAGCTTCTCTCTCTCTCTCTCTGGCTACCTGCATTGCGGCCTCTAACCCTGCTCCATTTTCGACCCTCCTCCATTTATTACACTTTATTTCTTCCTGCTAAAATGGTCGACAAAGTTTGAAAACTTGTACGAGTTTGACTCATGTGGTTATCTCAAATTGTTGTGATTCATGACAGTGGAACTTTGAAAGTTGAACACAACTTATGGAAGTAAACGTGGTTGATGTTGGTTCACTGCCATTCCCATGAGCGTGACATTTACACTGTAGTAAAGGATATATAAGGACATATAGCTCTGCTCATTTTTGTGCTTTCATCTGCATGCTATTTATGTTAGCATCTGATAGGTAAAATGATGTCATGTAATGGTTTTTGAGAGATATTTTGTTGAATATGATTGATACGTTTGTTTCTATTAAACCATTTCACGCTCGCGAAGCTGAAGTCTCGCAAGATTTGATAGCTTGGTTTGAATTCTGTCGACAGCTTTTATTATCAGTCTCCATTCAATGGGCGCTTTGTATTTGTATGCATTCGCTCAAACTTGAGTTGTTTTGTATTTTGCACCGGTAAATGACCAGATCAAGATACATGTTGAAGTCTGTCTATGTTTGTCAGCCGCTGGAAAAAAAAATTGTCGTACAGTCAAACACAAATTACATACCGGCTCATTCCGAAGTGGGTAAATCCAAACGACACTTCTGTTTTATCTGCTTTCAACTTGTTGATGACAATCAATAATGTCTGTAGTGCCAAGACGCCTTCGCTTTCGCTGTTCTTTCTGAGCGAAAGGCCGGAATAAACACGTGTCATCGGCGGGATAACAAGAACGGTGTGTTTGTTTGAATGCGGGCTACTTTTCAAAAGGTTTGGAAGGCCAGAGAAAGCTACGCATGTGAATTATTGAAGAGGCGAGGGATAGGGTGGAAGAAGGGTATGAGTGAGTAGCATTTACAGTTCAGATGAGGGGAAAAAAAGAGAAAGGGAGAGTGATGTCCGCCTCACAGTCCACTTCTTTGAGTGGGACCACAGTGAGAAATCTGTGCAGCCTAACCTTTCTTGGTCTGGAGTTTTATTGAAATTGACTGATCAGAGGGATGTCCACGTCTCCTCATCTGGCTCTCGACTTTCACACTCTGCTCGCACTGTGTGCGCATGTGGATTATGGGATCATTATATTGAGGCAGATGTAAACAAACTCTTGTTAGCTTTTAGAACAATCCTGTCCTCTGTAAATACATGAAACTTTAGTGATTGAAATCGGTTCTCAGAACGTACGTGGCGCCTGACGTATCCCCCCCCTCCAACCCCCAACCCCCACCATTTTGCACCTATTTTCTAAATTTTCCAATTTGCCGCGGATAGAGACAATCATCCGAAAGGACAACATATGAAATTGCAAAGAGGATTAAGCATAAACAGCTCCTGTATCTCCACCGGCCGCCCCGTTGAGGCAGGCCAGGTCTGCAAATAGGCTTTTCACATTTCAGACACCACAATGTCACTCCATCTCATTGCGGCATCCATTACGTGATACCTTGGGAACGACGAGAGGGCCATGCTGAGAATTAGGGCAGAAAATGGCCGCCTGCTTGGAGGGGTAAAATGGCCAGCGTTATTATTCCGACTGGCCCCCGAGGGGGAGTTGGCCTGAATATAGATATGCAACATTACAAAAGCAGGTTGTTATCTAGGTGCAGGGTAACGGCTTCTCGGCCCTCTCTCCCCTATGACACACGCACACACACACACACACACACACACACACACACACACACACACACACACACACACACACACGCACATTCACGCTGATAAACTCACGTACACAATTTTGATTGTGAGTGCACCTAGGAAGTGCACTTTCTTGGTTGAGCAGCATGCTGCCGTTATTTGAGGGCTTTCAGTGAAAGGTATGTCCTTCTTGTTAGAGTTTGTGTGTTTTGGTCAAAGGTTTTTGGACCGAGGAATTGATCAATATGAGACCTTTGGACATCATACCAAAATGTGAATGTTTAACTATCGGTAGATATGACATCATGTTTCCGTATTCGTATCGGTCATGGTGATGAAATGTCGATTGAATTCCTTTGGTTATGCAACATTGATTGCTGATTTAATCATGTCAACCAATCAGTGAATGCTTACAGTGCTTCACAGAACAGGGAATAAAAGACCTTTCAACAGCCTTCTCTGACAATCAATTCCTTGGTCCCATATGTAAAATGAATCATAGTTTACGAAGAAGCCGGGCAACATTAAGTTCACAAATCCAAGCTGTTAATTTAGTGTCCCAAATGTTGTGTCTAAAAAAATAAATAACTGTTGATTTTTAGCCATGAAGACTGTCACGGCTGATCTGTTGGGACCAACAGGTGGCTCTGTCGGGCTCCTCCTCCAGCGGCACACCTGTTGGTCATCATGTCATTAGTAGGTTCTCTGTTAAAAGGACTCCAGGCCCGACCACTTGCTGTCGGGTCATTGTTGCTGTTGCTGCTTCTGTACCTGTTCATGTTTTGCTTTTGCCGTGGGCTTTTGTTTGTTACTTTGGATTCTTCAGGTCTTTGTTCTGGATTGAATTTGCTCAGTGTTTTGTTAATACAATTTGTCAAGCCTACCCTGCTCCCCCCTCCTGCCTGCTATTTGGGTCCTCCACCTCCCCCGTCCGCAACAAAGATCACCACTCCAGGGTGCATTATTCTGCTTGATACGGTGTTTTGGGGGGAAATAAGAGTCCAAAACATTCAAAAGAGAGGTTTTCTCATTAAATAGAAAATAAACAAACAAATAAATAAATACAACCATGCTATTTTCCTCCTAATTAATTCCAAACATTATTCAGTGTATTTCTACCTTTTGTCGGCGTAAGAAAGCAAATAGTTTTCCTCTCTTGTAAAAATGAAGCACTCTCTGACACAATATCACCTCGGGTCTTTGGGGTTGGAGAAACTTGACATCCCATTTACCTTGGTCATGGGCTTTAGGGCTGTGTGTTGTCGTGTTATGTAATTAAGTCTGACAAAGTGAGCACGTAAAGACCTTAGTTAATGATATTTGACGCGCGAGCGGGCAAACGGTCACTCGCATCCAAACTATTGAAACGGCCCAAATCGAAATGAGAGCGCGCATCGCCGGAAATACAAAGCGAGTTGTATTTTGCGTGATGAGTTGACATCCAGGAGACAGCCGAGTGTACATTCTTCTGTTGATGTAATCATCTTTCCCTCCTTTCTCTCTTCTTCTGAGTCTTCATCCTTTGTTGATATCCACTTATTATGCCTCCCTTCAGCAGATTTGCCCCTTCCCGCGGACACTTTTCATAAAATCTAGGATTTCTCTGTCTCCTTCCCCCCCCACCTCGCTCACTCTCTATCTGACTTCTACAGGTCTGCTCTAATTCCCTCCTTTATTCATGAACCTAACCCGGCTGGGTTAGTCGGCGTGGTGTGTATGTGCATTCATCTTCGAGTGTATGCGTGCAAGAATGAGTGTGTGCGCACAAGCCAGGGGGTGGGGGTGGGGGGTAGAAAATAGGAATATGAATCTTTAAGGGCCTACTGGTACTGCGGGTGAAATGTCTTTTTCAGAGCTGCCGTGATTTTCCGAGAAGGATGTTGATGATGGTTGAATTGCAGCAGATACGTGCGGGTGTGTGGACTTTTGAATATGAAAAAAAAACAAACAAACAAACCCCAAAATACAATGAAAACAACAGCCTTCTTGTCTAGAAATTTGCTTTATAGAGCCGCAATCCATTTAACTTCATAATCCTCCGCTCTTTCCGACAAACAGCCACATTTTTATGTGTCTTTATACTGTTCCTTTAAATATGGATCGGGTTACAGCATGTCCCGGATGTCCAATAATGATGCAGATTTTGCACCTCTAAAGATGAGAAAGC